CAGGACAAACCTGTTTGTTCTCCTAGAAGTCCATGGTATATTCAACATCTTCTCCAGCACCACAACTCAAAGGCATCCATTCTCTTTCTTTCATCCCTATTCACTGTCCAACTCTCTGATGCATAGCACGTAATTACAAAGACTATAGTCTGGATCAGGCGCACCTCAGTCTCCAGCCTGACATCGTTGCACTTCAGTACTCCTGAGAGGTCCCTCACAGCTGACTTTCCCAATGCAATTCGTCTTCTGATTTCCTGGCTGCTGTTACCAAGAGTGTTGACTGTGGAGACAAGCAAATTAAAACTGTTAACTATCTCAATCTCTTCACCATCCATACTGATACTGCCAATTGGCCCAGTGGTGAGAATCTTTGTTTTCTTGATATTGAGCTTCAATCCATATTGAAGACTGTACTCCTTGACATTCTGCAGCAAGTGCTTCAGGACCTCTTCAGTTTCGGCAAGCAGGGTTGTGTCATCCACATAACGCAGGTTGTTGACGATTCTTCCACCAATCCTGATGCCACATTAGTTGTCATAATGTCCAACCTCTCTAATGATATGTTCAGTATATAGTTTGAAAAGTGTAGAGAAAAAATACATCCCTGACAGGCCTCTTTCTTGATTTTGAACCATCCAGTGTCTCCCTGCTCTGTTCTGATGGCTGCCTCTTGGTCCATTGGCACTAGAGATTTTAAAATTAAAACAAAGAAATATAGTCTCCAGTTGAATATTCTAGATTCCATAAACTACATGAAATGTGTTATTAATTTAGGAAAATCTCAAACCAATGTTTGAAAGATTATTTGGAAAAACCATTATTTATATTACTTTATAATAATTCTTTATAATATCCACATCAATCTTTCCAAAACATTAGGGCTTAAGGATTTAAAATGTCTTATTTATCAACTCTGAAATTCTTATAAGCAATCAAACAATCCAATGTCCAAGAAACCAACAAAGTCTACAACGAAGGTAGTTGGGAAAGGGTGCCTCTGTCCAAGTCCAACACCATCATTCTTCCTGGCACTAAACCTTTTCTCTTCCTCAACTTTACCAGAGGTATTCTTCTCAGCAAATAAAATACAACATTGTGCACTCTGTGTTACATTTTTTAGATCCTTTTTCTCAAGATAATGGATATGTTCTTATTTTTCAAATGTACAAAAGGCTATCATGAAATATATAAACATTCAAAATCAATAATCTCTCTATAAAGTATAAAAACCATTAGCCTCGGAAAAAGAAACTCTGTCACGATGATGGAGACTGAGGTGAGCCAAATTTACTTAAGTCTAAAAATAGCTCTAGTATGTAAAGGACAAGGCAAACTCTTTTACATATTTTATATTGTGTCCAAAAAGCAAAGATATCCAAACACATGTCACATATATCCTTGCTATTTAAGTTTAGGAAAACCACTGTGATAAAGCTTATTTATAACTAGAAAATATAATTTTTTTAAATAGGTCTCTGACAAAATGTTTACATGAGCAAGCTACCTCACATCACCTTTGCATATATAATGTTTCACCTATATTCTCTAAACTAGGGGATGCAGATCTGATGATGTGATTTATTCAAAATCTGGACATAAGCTATAAAGGGTGTTTAAGTGCTTAAAGAGGCCTATTCATTTACTCATTCTAACTCAGGGAGTCCCTTTCACTTGTATATTTTCCACACACCTCTCTCTCTCTCTCTCTTACAACTAAGACAGCAACCAATTGTTGTGTAACTCCTCCCTTCCCCCTTCAACCTAGCTAACATACAAAGGAGGGGACTTTCTCTATTGTGCAAATTCAGTCCCTGCAAAGAACCTTTGTTAGCTAAAACCTCGATTCAGAAAAGGGTCTTTTTCAAAATTTTTTTTTAATCAGCATATTGAAAGCTATAAAGATGATGAACACAATAAATATAGCAAGGTAAAACAAAAAATTTTAAGTGTTCTAATTGTGTTTTAAAGATCCAGATTTCTTTCAGCACTGAAGAAAAAAAGCCTGGCATCCATCCCTCAACACATTTTCCACCAAAACCAGATTAAATTAATATAAATACTGCCTCTAACCTTTTTTGTCATTCTAAAATGTCTCTACATTGTTCTGTTCAAAAGCTGATTTTTTATAAAAAAATCTAAACGTTTACTATAAAAACCTAATCACTGTTAATAGGACGATCATTTTTAAATTGTGTTGTATAATGTATTCCCAATGTACACCTCTTAATCCTGTAAAACAGTTATTAGTTAATGCTGTAAAATCAGCTGGGAAAACGGTAGGACTTAAACCTCAGTTTTTATACAGGTATTTTGTGGTTTTTCCCATTTGGGGTTTCTAAAAGACATTACACGTGAATTTCTAAAGATAACTTAAAAAGTTATCTTGCAGAACCAAATTCTGTATAATTACCTTTTCATTAAATTATTAAGATTTTGTATTCCTTCCCAGTACCATCAAACACTTCTAACACATACTCAAAATAGAGATAAAAAGCTTTCAATTCGTCCAAAAGTGATCCATAGCTGGATCAGCAAGGGCATTTCTTACACATGTAGAAAGTCTTTTGACGAATGAACAAGAAAGCTGAAAGAGATTAGCTGCTGGAGAGGAGGAATGGGAACTGGGAGGCCCGAGTTAGGGGTGGGGTTATTTTCCCCTGTATACCTTTTTTACACCCTATTCAAGTAACAAAATACATCTGTGTAAACGTGGAAAGAGTCATCTTTAAAATAAAGGTGTTTCGGGGGCACATGGCGTTCTCCGCTTTAGAGTAACCTTTTTTCATAGGCAGCATCTGCTTTTGCTCTGTGATAGGTGAGTCTCCTCCGAAAGCAGCCTGAGCCGTGTGCCAGCTAAGCCCTCTGTAATAGAGGGCTGCTCCTGGAGACTGCCGCTTTCCAAGGCAGCGCGCATCCTCCGTCCCCTCCTCCCTCGGTGCATTCTGAGATCTGCTCTAACGATTCCCACATAAAGTGGGTCCTGGCCGCCATCTTAGAAAGTCATTCACACCAGACAGACCGCAGCACCGCTGGCTTAGAAGCCTTCCAAAACTCCCTTGGGCAATTTCCTCTTTCCTATCTCTAACCCTCAACTTGCAGAAGGGTCAAACTCCCCTAGGCAAACAATGCCTTGCATGCACTGTCTCTGGGATTTGCATAATGTGAAATGATACGTATGGCTGCATTATCACCCAGCAAAGAGAATGCTGCAGTGCACGTGCGTGCACGGCGGTGCATACCCACCTCCCATCCACCTATCTACAGATAAAGTCCATGAGGTGCAAGTGTTCGCCTCTAAGTGCTTTACCTCCTCCAGTATCCCGCACATAAATTATTTTTCCGCCAAAACACTCAAGATCATCCGGGGGGGGGGGGAGAGGAGGTGGGAAGGGGTGGAGCAACGCCAGGATGAGAAAGTTCTCATCTGCTCCTGAATGCAGCCCCGTCCACCGTGTGGGATAGAGGCGTGTTCGGGTCCCTCGCCTGGTCTCTCCGCTCGGCGTAGTAAACACTGGGCGAGTCCCTGGCAGCGCACCTCCCCCAGCCCGGGCGAGGACAGCTTTCGCAGGTTATGAATGGTCTCCCTCGGCCCGGCTCCTTTTCACACGCGGACACGCGCAGACGCGCGCCCCGGCGGGGAAGCTTTAACACCCGGGTAACAGCCACCACCAACAGAATCAATGATCCTCCATTTAAAAGGCAGGAGTTCGGCTGCTCTGCTTCCATTTCCTTATTCAAGGAGCTCCGTGGCGAGCGACGCAAGCTCTTTTTCCCATGGTGACTCACTATTAAGGACGCCCCATCATTTCCTTCACTCACTGAATAGTAAGAGGACTAAGAGTAACACCAAACCGAAAACCTGCCAGGATCTTGAACTGGGGGACACAGAGTAATTTTTGAGCAAGATCATAAAGGTCCGTAGAGTCCTCAATCTGCACCATTTCTAAGTAAATCGCTGTTTTAAAGTATTTTCCTTTGAGATTTATCAGTCATTGTACACACACACACACACACACACACACACACACACATTTCACAAAGAAGCGCCAAATACTACTAAACAAAAAACATGCGTCAAGGGCAATGTTTAGTCTTCATTTCACGGACAAATAAAACCTTCAAAGTGTGGTTTATTAAAGCTCTACTAATTTTAGGAGGCTTTAGATAAGCAAGTTACTAGAGGGGGGGACACATCACTATTTTGAGGCCATGCAATGGCAAAAGCTGCAGGACCGCGGAGGCAGGTCTGAGAGCTCTCTCTGCGTCCGAGCGTCTATCTGAGAGGGGGGCACCTTCCTAGTAGAGGCTGATCGTCCACTACAGGCATCTAGCGCCCGTCACCCTTCTCATCCAGACTCGGGAGAAGGCACGAGAGGAAAGGCAAAAGAGCTGAAAGAAACATCGGGACCAACTTACTTCCAGATATTCCCCACCCAACCCTGGAAAAAAAAAGCATCTTTTTTTAAATTTTTTGCATTTGCCATTTTTATTCAGTTCCTAGGTCTGTGATGCCTGTGTGTGTGCAGTCTTTAGAATCCAGCAGCCTCTCAAAGCAGAGATGGCTTTCTCTAGCTCGATCCTGGTTTCTGCACAACCTTCCCCGCGCACACACCCCGCGGACGGCATCGCTCCCCGCGTGCCCGGGACGCGGGCGCCGGCGGGCCAGGGGGCGGGTCGCGGGGCGCACCGGCGGCGGCTCCCGCGCCAGCTGCAGCCCGGCTAGGACCGGGTGTGTGGCTGCGCGCCCCATACACCGGGCAGCCGGCGTGCAAGGACGCGGGCCCCGGGGAGCGCCGGCACGCGGGGAAGCCAGGCAACAGTCCCCTCCCGGCTGGAAGGGAGAGGACGGCGGCCGAGGACCAATGCCGGGCCCGGGCAGGACACCCGCGGGTCCGGGACCTGGTCCTCCTCAGTGCCGAGCACGGGGAAGGCCGGCGATGGGCCGGAGCGGGAAGCGGCGGCCCGAAGAGAGAGCGCGGCCCGGGCCTCGTGTCACTCACCGTTTGAAATGCTCGATGATCTTCTCTTCCCGCACATTCTCCGGTAAGTTGCCCACCCAGAGATGCCTGGTTTCCCGGACCATGCTGGGCAGTGTGCCGGCGACCGCTGCTGCTGGTTCTCCCTCGCCGGCTTCGTACGAGCCCTTCAGCTTTGGGAGGCGAGCGCAGCGGCGGCGGCGGCGGCTGCGGCGGTGGCGTCGGCAGCGGCGGCGGCTCCTCCGGCTCCCCCCCGTGCAGAGACCATCCCTCTCCCCCAGGTTCTGACTCTCGGGCCTCGCAGCTCCGCTCTGCCGCCACCACACACCCGAAGCCGACCCTCGCGCTCCGGCGGCGCATGCGCCCGGGCGGCGGCGGGAGGGGGGAGTGCGGAGGAGGGGCGAGCGGGACCCGGGCGGCAGCGA